TGTAAATGTTTGGTCACTTACCAAAATTGTTGCTTAATAAGCAACAGGGCAGAGATAAAAACTTAGGTCTAACTTCAGAAGAAAAAGCTCCTGTTTTCTTACCTAAATCCTCTCCTTTCTTTTGGACTACAAAGCTTAGACCTAAGTTTTGTATGAATAATTTTTTCAAGCATAATTGCAGAGTTTTGCATTTCACTCGCTACATTTTACCATATTTACCAAGACTTTTCTCGGTAATTTTCATTCTTGATTTTATCATTGGTGAGTTTTTCAAACTCATGTCACCTATAAATCCTATTTGTGCACAGAACATAATTTAAACGAATCATGTAGAAACCAGGATGCACAGATGTTATCTATAAAGCAGGATACATCTTAAGAATAGAATAAAAGTCTGGTGACAAAATTTATGCAGTTTTTGAAACTAAAATTATTTTTTAAACTGAAGGTAAAATTTGCACTCCTTTGCCAAATTTTGCCAATATAGGCATGAATGTGTAACTTGATTTAGCTGAGGTTACCCAGGCCTTTGACATTCATATAAAATTAGCTCAATGCCTTTAACCATTGTTTTTCAGGAAGACTACATTCTTACCATTTCTTGCAAATTCCAAGGTCTTAATATTCTGGTTGCCACCTGTGGGTGTGAGCTCCAGCTTGCTTCTTTTTGCTCTTCACAGTCCTGGATGTGGAACACAGCTCCTTAGTTTTCCCTAAAACCTACTCACAGATGACATTATTTTTATACCAGATCTTACTGTATATTTGGGGAAGATGGAAGGGCTAAGCATCAATGCAACATAAAACTGAGTATTGCCAGGCTTGGTGGCTCAGCCTGTAATCCTGCACTTTGGGAGGCCAAGGTGAGTGGAATGCCTGAGCCCACGGGTTTGAGACCCGCCTGGGCAACTTGGTGAGACTTCATCTCTACAATAAATCAAAAAAATGATCTGGGCATGGTAGTGCGCGCCTGTAATTCCGGCTACTTGGAAGGCTGAGGTGGAAGAATCGCCGGAGCCCAGTAAGTCAAGGCTGCAGTGGCCGGGAGCGGCCACTGCACCCCAATCTGGTCGACAGAGTGAGACTCGAACTCAAAAAAAAACCTGAGTATTAATTTTTCCTTTCTTAAAAAGTCATTTTGTCATCCAGTTTGCTTGGCTTACTCTTTCCTTAAAACCCTCATCTCTCAATTCCCTCAACTTTAGAATGCACAGCTTCTTGGCTCTTAATCTTTTACAGAGCTCTGGGTTAATTTCTGCTTACCAATAGATTCAATCCTTCGCTCTGCTTAGAAGTAAGGAATTTGAGGAGGTTCTGAAGTTTCTGCATGCTTTTCTCTCCCTCTTTAGCCCCTATTGTCCCACTGGTCTTTGTAAGTGGTAGTGACCGGTATCTTTTTTTTTTCCCCACTGGTTTAACTTATACAATTTCCCTAAGAAGGCAAAACCTATGCCAGTTCGGGTTTTAAGCAACATTATTTTCCTCATTTCATTATGTGTAGTATTGCACTAATAGGGCTATGAGTCATAGAGAAGATGACATACTTCTTAGGTTGCCAGGGAAAATTCTGGTTTCATTTATCAGCTTGGAGTGATTTTATATATATA